GGCTTTCCAAACATTTATTGATAAAATAGTCGACACTGAAAAACTTTGCGGCGTTCATTGTTACATTGACGACATTACAATTGGCGGACGCAATAAAGTTGAACATGACGAAAATCTTAATAAATTCCTTGAAGTAGCAAAGAAATACAATATCAAATTAAACGAGAAGAAGAGTAAATTTTCTACTACTTCCATTAAACTGTTAGGACATCTTATAAGTGAAGGTTCGATCAAACCGGATCCCGATCGTTTGAAGCCTTTGTTGGAAATTTCTCCGCCTAGTGATAAAGGATCTTTACAGAGAATAGTCGGTATGTTTGCTTATTACTCGAAATGGATTCCACGATTCTCTGAAAAGATTCGTCCTCTGATGAATAGCAAATCGTTTCCTTTATCAAAAGAAGCCACATCAGCTTTTTCAAAACTTAAGAGAGACATTGCCAACTCTTTACTCGTATGTGTGGACCCGAAATTTCCTCTAGTTGTCGAAACAGATGCTTCAGATGTTGCTATCTCTGCAGCTCTCACACAAAACGGACGTCCTGTTGCTTTCTTTACTAGAACCCTTACCGAAAGTGAAAAGAAGTACCCTGCAATAGAAAAAGAAGCTACTGCTATTATTGAGAGTATTAGAAAGTGGAGACATTTTTTGTGCAATCGACATTTCAAACTTATTACTGATCAGGAAGCATTGTCGTTTATGTTCAATTTGCAACATACAAGTAAAATCAAAAACGATAAAATTCAGCGATGGAGACTAGAGATGTCTTGTTATAGCTTTGATATCTCATATCGTCCTGGTTCTCTCAACAAAGTAGCTGACGCGTTATCGAGGATTTGTGGAGCCACAAATCACGATGAATTGTATAATTTACACAAATCTCTGTGTCATCCAGGAGTTACCAGAATGTATCACTGGATCAAATCAAAGAATCTACCTTTTTCTTTAGAAGAAATTAAACAAATCACTTCTGCATGTCCCGTTTGCGCAGAATTGAAACCTCGATTCTATAAATCTCAAGAAAATCATCTGATTAAAGCTACAAGACCATTCGAAAGGCTCAATGTAGATTTTAAAGGACCAGTCCCTTCTAACACTAAGAATACGTATATTTTGACTATTGTTGACGAATATACAAGATTTCCTTTTGCCTACCCCTGTCGGGATATGACCTCTGCTACGATTAAAACAAACCTTTACAATCTTTTCTCCATATTCGGGACTCCTGCATATATTCATTCTGACAGAGGAACATCATTTCTCTCGAAAGATCTCATTAACTATCTTCATACACAAGGCATCGCTACGAGTTCATCTACTCCATATAACCCTCAGGGCAACGGACTTGTCGAACGGTATAATGGAATTTTATGGAAAACCATGTCTTTGGCTATGAAGAATAAGGGATTAGAGACTTCGCGATGGGAAGAAGTTTTGCCAGAATCATTACATGCCATACGTTCCCTTTTATGTACATCTATAAATTGCACTCCTCACGAAAGGATGTTCTCCCATGCACGTCGTTCGACAAATGGAATAGCTATACCTTCTTGGTTAGCAAATCCAGGAAAGGTACTAATGAAGAGTCATGTACGAACTTCCAAGTACAGTCCATTGGTCGAAGAAGTGGATCTGATTGAGGCAAATCCAGAATATGCTTTAATCCGACGGGCAAATGGGAAGGAAGTTACGGTTTCTTTAAAACATTTGGCTCCAACAGGGGACAGTTCAATTTTTGGTCGTGAAGAATCTACAGGTCAAGATCACAGTTTTGAATCTGATCCAGCTGTTCCTCATGTATCAGAAGTTCCTGTCATTGAATCCAATTCCTTCCCCAACCCAGTATTAACAGAAGAACAAAGAAGATCGCAACGAGAAAGAAAACTACCGTTGTATCTACAAGACTACATTTCAAAATAACTAGGGGAGAATGTGCTAATATTATATAGACAGCTTTGATTAATTAATGTCACATTTTTTATTTGATTAAAGCCTAAAGTTTGATGGTAAATTTATTACAATTTAATCAAATAAACAATAATAATGGAAAAGCTCTTTAAACCAGACAAGTTTTCTTCAAACCCTGATAGTCCTACGGCTCAACAAGAATGGCTTCATTGGATTCGACTATTCGAAAACTTCACTGAAAGATCCGAATATATAGTGAAAGACGAAGATCAGTTGCAGGTACTGTCAAATTTTTTATCTTCTAACGTATTTGAATACATTAACGATTGTAAAACATACAAAGCCGCTGTAGATATTCTTAATGCTCTTTATGTGAAACCGAAAAACTTGATTTATGCTAGACATCAACTTGCAACTCGAAAACAACTCTCAACAGCTAGACATCAACTTGCAACTCGAAAACAACTCTCAACAGAATCAATTGATCAGTATTTGACTGCTCTCAAGTCGTTAGCCAAGGAATGCCATTTTAAGGCGGTATCTGCTGAACAAAACAAACAAGATTACATTCGAGACGCCTTTATTGCAGGTTTATTTTCATCTAACATACGACAGAGACTTTTAGAGAACAAGTCCCTTGAACTAGATGAAGCAGAAGAAAATGCTCGATCAATTGAAAGAGCAATTAAAAATTCAGAAACGTACACAAGTACATCAAATTCTGATGGAATATCTAATAACCAATGTTATTCAACACGTTCTGGAACTACTTACAAATGTTACTTTTGTGGAGGATCTCGTCACCCGCGCTCTGTTTGCCCAGCTCGTGATTTTATCTGTACGAACTGTACTAAAGCTGGACATTATCCAAAAGTATGCCTTTCCAAGAAGACTAATAGAACTGTTAAAACTTCTGCAGCTCTTAATGATTCAATTGAACCCAAATCATCCTTGGAAGAAACATTCATTGCAAGTATTGTTGGGGCTAGTTCCTTACCAACTCTATCTAAAGCTACTATAGTAGCAAACATTAATGGAAAAATAGCACAATGCCTAATTGACACTGGTAGCTCCAACAGTTATATCAATGAGAAATTTACAATTATTAATGGGTTTGAAATTTTCCCTGAAGGTACAATTACAGTATCCATGGCATCTACCTCATTGTCATCTTGTGTAAGAGGATGTGTTAAAATAGATCTGAAAATATTAGATCTAATGTGAAACCTATTGCAACAAAGTCACGACGACATTCAGCAGAAGATAATGAATTCATCAGAGAAGAAGTAACCAAGCTCCTTCAAGCTGGAATAATTGAGGAGAGTTCCTCTCCATGGAGGGCCCAAGTAATAGTTACTAAAAATGCTAATCATAAAAAACGCATGGTCATAGATTATTCAAATACTATAAACAAATTCACCGAATTAGATGCTTACCCAGCACCATGTGTGGAGGAGGTGATCTCGGAAGTAGCCAAATATAGTCATTTTAGCACAATAGACCTTGAGTCGGCCTACCATCAAGTTCCAATTTGTGCTGAAGAACGACCGTTTACGGCATTCGAAGCTTGCGGGAGACTGTATCAATTTACAAGACTTCCTTTTGGTGTCACTAACGGGGTACCGGCTTTCCAAAAATTTAATGATAAAATAGTCGACACTGAAAAACTTTGCGGCGTTCATTGTTACATTGACGACATTACAATTGGCGGACGCAATAAAGTTGAACATGACGAAAATCTTAATAAATTCCTTGAAGTAGCAAAGAAATACAATATCAAATTAAACGAGAAGAAGAGTAAATTTTCTACTACTTCCATTAAACTGTTAGGACATCTTATAAGTGAAGGATCGATCAAACCGGATCCCGATCGTTTGAAGCCTTTGTTGGAAATTTCTCCACCTAGTGATAAAGGATCTTTACAGAGAATAGTCGGTATGTTTGCTTATTACTCGAAATGGATTCCACGATTCTCTGAAAAGATTCGTCCTCTGATGAATAGCAAATCGTTTCCTTTATCAAAAGAAGCCACATCAGCTTTTTCAAAACTTAAGAGAGACATTGCCAACTCTTTACTCGTATGTGTGGACCCGAAATTTCCTCTAGTTGTCGAAACAGATGCTTCAGATGTTGCTATCTCTGCAGCTCTCACACAAAACGGACGTCCTGTTGCTTTCTTTACTAGAACTCTTACCGAAAGTGAAAAGAAGTACCCTGCAATAGAAAAAGAAGCTACTGCTATTATTGAGAGTATTAGAAAGTGGAGACATTTTTTGTGCAATCGACATTTCAAACTTATTACTGATCAGGAAGCATTGTCGTTTATGTTCAATTTGCAACATACAAGTAAAATCAAAAACGATCAAATTCAGCGATGGAGACTAGAGATGTCTTGTTATAGCTTTGATATCTCATATCGTCCTGGTTCTCTCAACAAAGTAGCTGACGCGTTATCGAGGATTTGTGGAGCCACAAATCATGATGAATTGTGTAATTTACACAAATCTCTGTGTCATCCAGGAGTTACCAGAATGTATCACTGGATCAACTCAAAGAATCTACATTTTTCTTTAGAAGAAATTAAACAAATCACTTCTGCATGTCCCGTATGCGCAGAATTGAAACCTCGATTCTATAAATGTCAAGAAAATCATCTGATTAAAGCTACAAGACCATTCGAAAGGCTCAATGTAGATTTTAAAGGACCAGTCCCTTCTAACACTAAGAATACGTATATTTCGACTATTCTTGACGAATATACAAGATTTCCTTTTGCCTACCCCTGTCGGGATATGACCTATGCTACGATTAAAAAAAACCTTTACAATCTTTTCTCCATATTCGGGACTCCTGCATATATTCATTCTGACAGAGGAACATCATTTCTCTCGAAAGATCTTATTAACTATCTCCATACACAAGGCATCGCTACGAGTTCGTCTACTCCATATAACCCTCAGGGCAACGGACTTGTCGAACGGTATAATGGAATTTTATGGAAAACCATGTCTTTGGCTATGAAGAATAAGGGATTAGAGACTTCACGATGGGAAGAAGTTTTGGCAGAATCATTACATGCCATACGTTCCTTTTTATGTACATCTATAAACTGCACTCCTCACGAAAGGATGTTTCATATGCTTTAATCCGAAGGGCAAATGGGAAGGAAGTTACGGTTTCTTTAAAACATTAGGCTCCAACAGGGGACAGTTCAATTTTTGGTCGCGAAGAATCTACAGGATAAGATCACAGTTTTGAATCTGATCCAGCTGTTCCTCATGTATCAGAAGTTCCTGTCATTGAATCCAATTCGTTCCCCAACACAGTATTAACAGAAGAACAAAGAAGATCGGAACGAGAAAGAAAATTACCGTTGTATCTACAAGACTACGTTTCAAAATAACGAGGGGAGAATGTGCTAATATTAAATAGTTCACTTTATATTATCTAGACAGCTTTGATTAATTAATGTAATATTTTTTATTTGATTAAAGCCTAAAGTTTGATGGTAAATTTATTACAGGACGTATCCGTGCCCTAGAATGTCAAAAGGGAAAGGAATGGCGCATAGAATAAAAATTCACGAAAAATGAAGATAAAGTTACTCCAAATTGGGCTTTAAGCTCTTATGGAAGGAGCAACATTTTCTCGAAAGTTTCCCCAAACGCACGAGAGCTTTCTAGATTTGCCACACCAGAGATTAGAAATTTCTTAATCAAATGTGCGATATTGGAACGAAAGTGAGAGAGATTGAAAGGTTTTGAATAGCGTAGCATAGTAAACTGAGTGGAAAAACATTTTTTTATTATACTTCATTGAAATCACCTTATTTACACCTGTATTAGAAATAATGGTATCTGGCCTTTTCCAGGCTAGCGCACGGAATATACTGTTTTGATAAATATCTCCACAAAAATGTTACAGAATTTCCGTTTTGGAAATTTGCGTCCCCAAACGGGATGATACACGGACAATTTCCTCACCATAAAAATCCCAGTGCAGATTCGCGAAGGTCTCAGCTATTACCAAATCGCGAACAATCTAGTTTGGTAACGTTTCACTGCAGGCATCAGGGAATCCTAATCCAAGGCAGAAAATTAATTGCCTTACTCAAACTTAAAACGAAAATTTGTCAGTATAATTCTTAATTACGCCATGATATATAATTATTAAACGGACGTTTATAAATAGCATGCATAAAGGTCACTCGTACTATACTACTCCTTTAACTATTTTAAGTCGTGATATACACAGTTTTGAAAGTCTCATCCGAGTCATTGGTTTAATTCATAATAGTTTAAATATTAGTTGTAACATTCGTGTTGAAAAGGAACGTTAATTTAGTTAACAAATTTAATAATACAGCACGAGGCTATCATTAGATTGATTAAGATTGAAATAGTGCCATACGTACCAAAAGTGTACGCCTTGATTTAATAATGCCATTTATTTCAAATTATGGGAAATAAATGGGGCAATTAAACGTGTTTCTGGGGGGCAATTTCAAAATTACCTTTCAGGATGAGACTCGCTTAATTAAACGTCGGTAATTAACTGTTTACGGAAAGGCTATACACATTCCTGCCTTTCGCTTCGCAATGCATGCACAAAACTTGAAAATTGTATGCAAGGGTGGTTTTCGGTTTCTTTATTATTTTCTGCAGATTCAAGTGATTTGATCAAATATGAAATACCCGAATGTAAATTGTTACACTGGCAGTAAAGTCTGATAAGAGTACAAGTCCCGTTCGAGCACTCCGAGGGAAACACTTTCAAGTGCACGCGGCAAAACGGGTGTTGTGCCAAGTAATGAAGAGGGCAGCAACTGAGCAGCGGTTCTGCTGTTGTGACAGAGGAGGATCAATCCTGGTCCTCGTTACCGACCTTCGAGATTACTACCAGCGCCCTCAGAGCTCAAGAAAAATGACGACGAGCTTTTGGGTCGTGTGGCGGTTCTTGGCTCCAACCAGGATCCCCGTTAACCCGGCCAATTGCTCTCAAATTTTGGATAA